AAATTACGGATATTTGTGATAAAATAAAATAAATAAATAATATAAAATATAACATAGTCAAACAGTATCTTTATATCATTGATAGAGTCATAAACTTTTAAATAAAATAAATTATAAAAATTTTCGTATCATAAAATTTTTTAAAATATTATAAATACAAATTCATCATAATAAATAAATAAAATATTTTCAAATTCAAATCATATCAATAATTACATTATGAATGGATTTGAAATTTCAACAAATATACATATAATTCCCAAGAGATATAGAAGAGAAGTAGAATATATGTTTATAACTATATTATTTAATGCTGTTAAGAGATTAAATTTGATATTGACTAAAAATGAGAATATTATATATATATATATATAGATTAGCTTATGTAAATGTTTGTCAACTTTTTTCGACAATAAATTATTTTAAATAACAATAATTTTATATGATATTAAACTCAATTCAATTATGTAATTTTCAAAAAAAAAAAAAGAAAGAAAGAAAGAAAAAGAAAAACAGGATAATGTGTGAATTGCTTGTTACCACAGAAGATGTCGTTTATGATTATAATCAGAAATTTTGTAGTCTCTAAAATTAATCTAAGACTTCATAATTATATATATTATTACTAGTGATTTTTGAAAGAAGACTTCAGAATATTGTTCTTGGAAATAAATTCATTTTATTTTGTCAAATATATAATTATAGTGAGAGAAAGAAAGAATAAAAAAAAAAAAAAAGGAATGATCTTGAATATTCGCACTTGGACATCAACGATGGGAATGTAGTTTGGAATTTAAAACACTTCAAATAATTGGGTTTTTACAGAACAGCTTGAAAGTTCAAACCTTTATATATATATATATATATGTATGTATGTATATATATATATGTATGTATATATATGATTGTTGTATTTACTAGACCCACTTCCTCTTCAAAGTCTTTTTCAATTTCCAGATTTTCCTTTTGGGAGGTCATAGATGCCTCTCTTGTCTTAACAACGTGTACTACTCCATATACATATATATATATATATATATAAGCGAATCTTTTCCTTTTATCTTCTTTCCCATCATAAATATTGTTTTAGGCTGTCCATATATTAAGTTAAATTTTTATTCATGTAAAAGTTTATTTAAAAATTTATTATGGTGTGAAGGGTAAATTAAAAACACATTGATCAATAATTTCATATTTCATTCATATGTTGGA